TTGCCAAGGCCGGAATGTCTCATTGGAAAGCAGGAAGGGGAAAGAGCCACTGTCCGGCTCACACGCTCTTAATAAGATGCAGTTTTATATGTGCTTGGCTGGAGCCCAGCCCACCCTCAGTGCTTTGCCATGGCCTTTGCCATGGCCTATTTGTATACTTGTAATCCTCAAAAACTTGATGCCTGCCAGGGCTACATATTGAGACCTTGTCTCAACAAAAGGCGTAAACTAGGGTGGCTTACACTTGGCATGAACTTTAGGGACAGGGATCTGCTTTAGGCAAGAGATACATTTTTATTTGGTGCACATGGAGGTTGGGAGAGACAGGGTCTCACTATGGCTGGAATTCATGATGTAGACCAGGGTGGCCTTGAACTCACAGAAATATACCTGCTTCTGCCTCCTGAGTGCTGGGATTAAAGTGCTAAAATTCTCTGAAGTAGTATAGTTTTTTTTTTTTTTTTAACAAAATTGCTCAGGCCCAAGCAGCTTCATAGATATAGTAGTCTGGGAGTCGAGTCAGTGTGCCGGTGTCTGCAGTGTGCAGTGTGGGCCCTCTCCCTGGCTTGTTGATGGCTGTGTTCTGATGAGTGCTCACATGACAGGGAAAGAATGGGCTCTTGTCTCCTCTTCTTGTCCCATTGTGGGCGCTCACTCTTCCTGACTTCATCTAATTACCTCCTGGAGGCCTCACTCCCAAGTCCATTCACACTGTTTATTCAGACTTCAGCATACAAATTGGGGATAAAAGGAAAGAAACCAATCTTTTTCCCATATATCCAGGCTTTACTCTGACACCAGATGGGTGAGTTTTTCCCAGCAGCCAATCCTTCAGCTCTCTAGACACCAACAAGATGGCTTACAATTCTGTCCTGCCTCTGAACACCCAGAGTCAGTGCCGTGGGTTAAAGGCTTGGCACTGCGGGACCACACCCTGCTGCAGATGCCAGTCACAAATGTAGGTCTCTAGGCTTGTCTGCAAGGTAAAGGTTTCCAAGACTTCCTCCTGAGGTTTGGTAGTCTGCTGTAGTAGCTCTTAGAACTCAAGGAACACATTCTCTGGTGTGTCGGCAAGGATGTGATAGGTTGAAGATGTTGAAGATGTTTGTAGGGTTAAGGGCGAAAAGGTTTTGAGCCCCACAGTGTCTGTCCCTGTGGAGTGCGGTGTTTCTCAGCATGGATATGTTAATCACCCCAGAAGCTCCGTGGGCCCCATCTCTAGTGGTTCTAACAGAGTCGTCCTCAGGTGGGCACATCCTTGACTCCATCTCTGCCCTTTTCTCTTCCCTGGAGGACGGGGGAGGGGGACTGAGCATTCCTAGTTACTAATTGTGGCTTGGTCTTCCTGGTGTTCACCCCCGCCATGAGGCTAACCAGGAGCTCACCACGAGGTACCTCATTAGAAAGGAGTCACCCAGAGTCTTGAGGGTTAGAGAAGTGGCAGGAAGTGGGTAGAAACCAAGTGTATTTCTTATTACATCACAGTGGTGTACAAGTATTTAGTCCATAGACAATCCCTGAGGCTATGTGAACGCCAGCTACCATGGTTGGTACCCGTATTTATGTTCCTCTTGCCTCACTAGGCCAAACAATCTAGCATGTGGCTGTAAAACACTAATATGCTCCCTGTGGTAGGCTGAATAATGACCCCCAAAGATAGATTTTATAATCCCAAGCCTATGAGAATGTGACCTTAAATGGCATTAGACTGCGCAAGTGTGGCTAAGACTTGGGAAGGAGAGATTATCCTGGATTATCCGTGTGGGTCCAGTGCATTACAGGAAGCTATGAGTCAGAGCTCTGACGGGACAGTGGAAGCCAGGGGGGGAAGGAGTGATGAGGGAACTGGTAGCCTTGTAGCCATAGCTGAAGAGGGTGGGCTGCTTCTTCGAGTCCTTCAAATATGGCTCAGCTGTGCTGACACCCTTGTCTTGGTCATTAAAACCTGCTTGGCTCTTCTAGCCCTCAGAAGATGAAAGGTAATGAATGCTGCGGGAGATGGCAGGTTTGTGGTCCTTTGTTCCTGCAGCAAAGGAAAGCTCGTTGTTCAGAAGACCTGGGGAAACCACTCACTGTTTCAAAGAACAAAGGTTTAAGTACAGTGTGAAGGTAGGGGGTTCTGAGGGTTTGTTTTGAAACATTTTGTTTGTTTTGTTTTATTTTTTTTGTACAGATTAATAGGATTCATAAAGACATTGCAATGCAAATACTTTCATATACTTGACTCAAGCATATCATGTACTGTGGTCATTTTCATTCCTTATTATGCTCTCCTTTCTCTTCTGTGTTTACCTCCTTTTAGTCTGCTCTCCCCGCAGAGTCCCCTTCTACATCATTCATATGTATACAAAAGGCTGTGGAGATTGCCTAGTCATAGAACCTGAGTTTGATCTCCCAGAGTTCAAGTTAAAAAAAAGCCAGGCACTGGGGCTGGAGAGATGGCAGTTAGGATTCCTGCTCTTGCAGATTTGACTCTCAGCACCCATATCTGGTTCACAATCACCTGTAACTTCCATTCTAACCCCTCGCCCCCCATGGCCTCTGCAGGTGTATGTGGTGCACATAAACTCACACATACACTTAAAAATAAAAGCAAATATCTTTCAGAAAGCTATGCATAGTAGCCTGTGTATATTTCTCCAGTGTTGCAAGGCCACAGGTGGACCCCTGGCGCTCACCGGCCAGCCAGCCTAGCCCGCATGGTGAGCTCCAGACTGGTGAGAGGCACTCGAAGAACAGCACCAAGGTGGTCCTCTGGCCTAAACACACCACACACTATCTTTTTGTTTATTATTATTGGTTCTTTAAGAATTTTGTGCGTTTTTAAGGCATATTTACCCCTTACCCAACTCCTCCCATATCCACTCCCTTTCCTCCCCACCCAATTTTGTGTTCTGTCTCTTGTTTTTCTTCCCATCAAATCCAATCTATACTGCCCATATATATATTCATGGATATGTGGTCTTTTCTACTGGAGTGTGTTCAAACTACCAGGGGCAACACTGTTAAAGAAAACTGATCGTCCTTCCCCCAGCAGCTGTCACTTGCCATTGACTGCTCAGCTAGGAGTGGGACCTCCTGCTGCCTCCCCTCTCTCCATGGTGGGGCGTGGTCTGGCTTGACCAATGACTGCTCAGCTAGGAGTGGGACCTCCTGCTGCCTCCCCTCTCTCCATGGTGGGGCGTGGTCTGACTTGACCAATGACTGCTCAGCTAGGAGTGGGGACCTCCTGCTGCCTCCTCTCTCCATGGTGGGGTGTGGTCCTGGCTTGAGTCTGCACAGGGCTTATGCATACTGTCACAGCCAGTGTGAGTTCATATGTGCAGCTGAATAATTTTGTTTGCTTATTTTTTTGAGTGGGGGTTTCTCTATGTAACCCTGGCTATCCTAGAACTCACTATGTAGACCAGGATGGCCTTGAATTCACAGAGATCCATCTGCCTCTGCCTTCTGAATGCTGGAATTAAAGGTGTGTACCACCATGCCCAGCTATAATTTTTTCTAAAACACCATTGTCTGTGTGTCACATTTTTTTAATTCATTCATTTGTTGATGGACATCTAGGTTGATTCCACAGTAAACATGGATATACATCTGTCTGTACTACACTAACTTAGGGTCCTTTGGGGAGTTTGGGGTTGTTTGGTTGTGTCTCTGTATGTGCCTGCATGTATGTATGTGACAGAAGAGGGTGTCTGGATCTCCTGGAACTGGAGTTACAGATTGCTTTGAACCACCATTTTGGATGCTGGGAATCCAACCTAGGTCCTCTGGGTGAGGAGTCAGTGCTCTTAACCTTGGAACCACCTCTTCGGCCCCTTTGGTTTTTTGCCTGTTTGTTTACTTTTGAAACAAAGTCTAAATGTATTGTGTAGCCCAGATTGCCCTCAAACGCCTGTGCTTACCACCTGTGCTCCTCCAGTAACCTTGGAACAGTTTAGATCTGATTGCTTCACTGTTCTTTTGCTGGGGAGGGAGCCGGAGGAGGAGGCACATGCCACAGCACACATGTGAAAGCCAAAAAACAACTTTTGGGAGTTGTTTCTCTCTGCCATGTGGATTCCAGAAATCAAACTGAGGTCATCAAGAAAGTGCCTTTACCCATGAGACATCTTGCCAGACCACTTCTCTGTTTTGTTTTGTTTTGTTTTGTTCTGTTTTGTTTTGTTTTGTTTTTACAGAGTCTAGGTCTTTTACTACTTTTGTACATTAAGCCGTGAATTCATAGGGAACAGGAGCCCAGGCTCCTTCCCCTTAGTTCCCCCAAAGTGTGCTCCTCTGGGTGGAGCAGGCTGATGCTTCAGTTGAGCACAGATGCCCTTCTTCAGGCTTCCTTTTTTCTCGTCGTTTTCCTTCACCAGTTTCAGGAACCTGGCTCAGGTCTTGGTTCTTAACATGTCCAGTGTGCACAGTACTTCTCTTGGCAAGAACCTTGCCCCTCACCTGCTTGTTTACAGTGAAGCCCATGGCCTGCTGAGTGACGTAGACACTTCCAGTTTTGCCGTAGAAACACATATGGTCATTCTTTTTTGAACACTTGGTATCTACAATATCACCCTTCTTGTAGATTTGCGTGTATGTGACCAAAGGAATACCTCCATGTTTCCTACAAAGCCCAGAGCACATATAGCAGGCTCCTTTTATGTCTGTCATTTTGATGAATTACTGGGAGATGGCTGCCATGAGCCAAAAGCAAAACCACCCTCTCTATCTTAAGAGATCCTCCCTAGTTCTCCTCAGTACCAAATTCTGCCAACATTGGCAAAGTAAAATAAACGTCTTCAGGTTGCTAAATGGGGACCTCATGCCACACTCGCAGATGGTTGGTATTTGGCAGAGAACAGCACCAGCCGGTCTGTTTTAGAGCTTGTTGTCTTTTGCCTGTGTTGTCCCTCAGGGCTGTAAACACTGTGGGACAGCACACCTGGCGCAGCCAGGATTTCCCTCTTAGCCTTACCCAGCCAGATGTTGTGAAATTCTTTTGTTTTGTTTGTCTCCAGTGCCTGGAAACCTTGGCTGCTACAAAGATCATGGAAACCCACCTCCTCTCACTGGCACCAGTAAAACATCCAACAAGCTCACCATACAGACCTGCATCAGCTTTTGTCGGAGTCAGAGGTTCAAGGTACCAGCTCTGCCGTGCATAACTACAGAAAAGATAAAGATAATTACAACAGCCCACCTGTCAGTCACATGGGAAGAATGAGCTCAGGAGTCAGGAGCACAAGGCAGCACTCAGTTTAAAGATGGGGAGTGGGTAGTAGCCCCTGTTTGGCCTCTGGCTGAGTTCTGATCTGTTATGAGCAGGGTTGTTAATGACTCCACAGAGAATCAAGTCAAGGCAATGGGTCCCTTCTTTGTCAAATTGCCAGTCTACCTCTTCTCCAGATGTTCTCTTTTCTTCATCTTCCTTATCTGAAATTTATTTCCTAATCACTAAAGTTCAATACTATTGTTTTTCTGTTAAATTAGGCAGAAAAAGATCCTTCCCTCTCTTCTTTTCTTTCCCTCTTTCTTTAACCAGTTTAGTCTAAAAGCCATTAATTAATTAAACCCTGCCTGGGTTTTAAACTCATGTGGCAGATGACTAAGCAAGACAGTTGAACCATGACTGTATGGTTGGTTGCTGTGCAGAACTTGAGCATAGGAATGTATCAAGCTAGTGCATTCCAACTACTGGAGAAGGCTGTATAAATGGAAAGCTGGGGAAAACGGAAATGAAGCCCAGAGGTAGTGTTCCCTCTGGGATTGGAGAATGTAAGTTCATGGCCTTGACGGTAGAGAGGTAGACAATGGTATAAGTGTGCAATGACTGTGTACATACACACACATACACTTCATTAGATAATGATACAAGTGTGCAATGACCACACACACACTTCATTAGATAATTATGTAAGTGTGCAATGACTGTGTATGCACACACACTCTTCATTAGATAATGGTATAAGTGTGCAATGATTGTATGTACACACACATATACTTCATTAGATAATGATACAAGTGTGCAATGACTGTGTATGCACACACACTCTTCATTAGATAATGGTATAAGTGTGCAATGATTGTATGTACACACATATACTTCATTAGATAATGATACAAGTGTGCAATGACTGTGTATGCACACACACATACACTTCATTAGATAATGATATAAGTGTGCAATGACTGTGTAAGCACACACACTTTATCAACGAGGAGCACAGCAAGCACCCAGCTCTCCACCAGAAAGCAGCTCTGTGGGGAAATTGCCCATGTTGTGCTGGTTCTGAGAAAACACCTCGTGTAGAACAGAAACATTAATGCAGGTTTACCAAAAGGACAAAGATACCTTGACAGGGGTCCCACGACCTAAACCCAAACCTTAAATATGCTTTAAGCTTCAGATGATGGTATTAATTACATGCATCTTATTGACTCAAAAGAGAGCACACCTCTCCACATGAGAGATATACAAATGCAAACTAGTAAGTATAGAAGAAATGATGTAATTATTGCCATATTACAGTCATCATAGTAATGACTGATAGGAAGTGACCATCAAGGTCTGCTCACCTGATGCTCTTTTGCAGTATAGTTCAGTAATCTTTTTGTTTAAAAAAAAAAGAATAGAAAAGAAGATATTAGCAGTTTACACGAGTATAGAAACTTGAGAATAAGTTGGGCCAGAGTGTCGCCTAGTTGCAGGGCACTTGCCTGGCGTGTGTAAAGCCCTGGATCCCGTCAACACTGGGAGCAAAAATAAGGCAAGGTTAATAAATGAGATTTAAGAACTCATTCAGAAGATATCTAAGACTGTAGAAAACTACAGGATGATATAGACTTTCCCGTTTACAGCTGAGACAACTCGAATATTATTAAAGTGGAAATTGCTCCCAGGTTACTCTATAAATTAAACGGAATCCAATTAAAAAAAAATAGAGCTTTAAAAAAACAGCAAGCTACTCTGGAGACAACATTCAGTAGTAAAGTTTGCCCAGGACAAGCAAGGGCAGGGCAAGGTTAATGCCTCAAAAATGCAAAACAAAAATGGCCAACCCTGACATCCAAAGAGTGTTTAAGATCACGAGAGCGGTTTTGGTTAAGGGCAGTTTTATGAGATTTTGTCACCTGAACTGTAGATTATCATAAAGTCACCAAGAGCCATCATGAGCCAGTCAGAAACTGACCACAGACAAATCCCACCACCCGCTGTTATTTTTTGTTTGGGTAAATAAAGTTTTATTGAACAGAGCCATGCCTGTTCATTTACAAATTGTCTCTAGCTGTTTTCATTGTGTGGCCATGAAGCCGGTAGAGAAAGAGACTGTGTAGCCCACAGAATAAAGAATATTTACTTCTGGCCTTTTCTGAAATCTGCTGCAGATCAACGTAACCATCTAGAAGCAGACCTAACACAGATGTAAACAATTGATTTTTATGAATGTCTCAAGGCAGTTCAACAGTGAAGGATTGTCATCAAGTACTTCTGAAGAAACACTGTAGCTCTTTGTGAAGAAAAGGAAACCTTTAGTTTTGCATCTTAGCTTAGACAAAGATTGACTTTAAACTGCGGGAAAGAGTTACTGTGAGAAGGCCATGAAAACAGTGCACACAGTAGACTTCACAGTTCAAAGTGAGCCTATAAGTCGATGTCAATTGATTGTCAGCAAAATTACCAAAGTTAGGAAAGAATAGTCTTCAACAAATGGTACTGAAGCAGTGGGGTAGACCCACGCAAGATAGTGTTGGGCCATGTGTGCTTGCTCCCCAGCACTGAGACAGAGAGACTTAGGGAGGAAGGGTCTGTTCAGTTGCGCCTGGAAGCAGCGTCAGGAGCGTGAGGCAGCTGTTACAGCACAGCAGTCAGGAAGCAGAGGGTGAGGTGCTGGTGCTCAGTTCACTTTCTCCTTCTGCTAAATCTGGGGCCTCAGCTCAGGGAAACTGCCGCCTACTGGTGGGGTCGAGCTTGATCTAAAACATGTACAAAATAAAGATCATAATAGTAAAATGCCAGGCAACATGGTTTTAAAATAGGCAAAGCTGACACACCAGTGGCAAATGAGCAAATAAACTTATATACATCATTAGTCATTAAACTACAGCAAATTAAAGTCACTGTGAGACAGACAGTCCTCAGAGTGGCTGAAGTCAAGTATACTTACAGTAGCAGGTGCTGACAAGGGTCCAGAGCAATGAGAGCTCACACACAGCATTGTAATGTAGCTTGGCTCAGGTGTCCTGGGAAAGGTTGGTAGTTTCTTTAAAAAAGTTAAACCCAATAATTTCACCCCTAATTGTTGCCCAGGACAAGAATCTGTACACAGATGCTTACAGAAGTCTATTCATCATAGTGAAACCTGGAACTGGGTGACTGCGTAGTGCCGGTTCCACATTTACAGAACTGTGTAGGGTGAACTACAGCAGTGAACTGGTAGAGACTCCAATGTAATGAGCTTCACAGGAATGCTGAGCTGGGTGGTTGTTGTTGTTTAGGCTATTTTATGTTCTCAGAATGACAAAATGAAACTAGCAGAAAAATTTGGATAATCGGGGGCTGGAGAGACGGCTCAGTGGTTAAGAGCCATGTGCAATGCTCTTCCAAAGGTCCTGAGTTCAATTCCCAGCAACCACATGGTAGATCACAACCATCTGTAATGGGGTCTGGTGCCCTCTTCTGGCCTGCAGACATACACACAGACAAAATGTTGTATACATAATAAATAAATAAATAAATATTTAAAAAAAAACTTGGATAATAGTTGTGGGGACCAAAAGGCTCCCAGTGTGGCACAGCTTGTTCCGTACTGGAGGATTGGCTCCTGCAGGACTATGTGCTCAATTAGTGTATTAATATTAAAAAGAAAATTAAAATGTAAATGAGGCTTAAATGAGTTTTAGGGGCCTGAGAAATAACTTAGCAGTTACGAGTACATACTGCTCTTGCAGAGGACTGGAGTTTGGTACCCGATCTGTTCAACACCTCACAGTCATCTCTAACTCAAGCACTGGGAGATCTGACACCATCTCCTGGCCTCTGTGGGCACCTGCACTTGTGTATATCAAACACACAGACACACCATACACAGATGGACAGATGGATGGACACGCAGACTCACATACACATAAAAAAAAAATCTTAAGGACTGGAAAGATAACTAAAGCCCCAAAGGACCTGAGTTTAATTCCCAGCAGCCACACTGCAGTTCAGAACTATCTGTAACTTCAGTCTCAGGAATCCAGTGTCCTCTCTCTGGCCTCTCCAGGCACTGCACACAGACAGTGCACAAACAGACATACAGGGAAAACACCCATACATATAAAAGTAAAGGTTAATATTTTTTGTTTCTGTTTTTTGTGTTTTTGTTTTTTCGAGACAGGGTTTCACTGTGTAATAGCCCTGGCTGTCCTGGAACTCACTCTATAGACCAGGCTGGCCTTGAACTCACAGAGATCTGCCTGTCTCTGCCTCCTGAGTGCTAGGATTAAAGGTGTGCACCACCACCGCCCAGCTGAAAGATTAAAACTTTTTTTTTTTTTTTTTTTTTTTTTTTGGTTTTTCGAGACAGGGTTTCTCTGTGGTTTTGGAGCCTGTCCTAGAACTACCTCTTGTAGACCAGGCTGGTCTTGAACTCACAGAGATCCACCTGCCTCTGCCTCCCAAGTGCTGGGATTAAAGGCGTGCGCCACCACCGCCCGGCTGATTAAAACATTTTTTAATAAAATCTTGGCACATAGTAAACAGTCAGTAGAATGTTTAGCTGTTTCATGAGTATTTCACGTTTAAGGAATGTTGTCCTCCTTAAAGATTTAGTTCCATGCAGTGGGAATGAGAACATTAGAAAGGAATCCTCACAGACAGCGAACACAGTGGTGTGGAGCTTAGAATAGGCAGTAAAACTAAGGAGAGATCACGGGAAAGGTTGGACTAGGAAACTGAGGCTGATTGCTCACTACCACCCTGATGGAGGAAGGTAATTGGTTAATTATAATAAACCAACTGCTTGGCCTCATAGCTTAGAACATAGGTGGGTGGAATAAACAGAATAGGATGCTGGGCGGAAGAGGAAGTGAGGTCAGACTCTGCTCTGCTCCTGGGTAGACTCGACAGCTCTGCTCTCTGGAGCAGAGTTGCTCTCCCAGGCAACTCCAACACAGGATGGACATAGGCTAGAATCTTCCCCGTAAGCGCACCTTGGGGTGCTTACACACATCATTAGAAATGGGCTAGTCCAGGTGCGAGAATTAGCCTGTAAGGGCTAGAGTTCATGGGCCAAGCAGTTCTTAAATGAATACAGTTTGTGTGTTGTTATTTCGGGCATGAGCTAGCCAAGCAGCCGGGGTGTTGGGGACGCAGCACCGCCGCTCCTATTTCAACACCACCCCCGTAACATTCTCATCAGCGAGTGATAACATTTACCCCAGACCCCCCCAAGTTCATCGCATCTCATAGTGCAAAAGACATTTGGTCCAGCTTAGAAGTCCTCACAGTCTTTTTCTCGTGTGGCAGTTTGCCGGGATGGAGTCGGGCTACGCATGCTTCTGCGGGAACAATCCTGACTACTGGAAGCACGGGGAGGCAGCCAGCACTGAGTGCAATAGTGTCTGCTTTGGGGACCACACACAGCCCTGTGGTGGAGACGGCAGGATTATCCTCTTTGACAGTGAGTATGGTGCCAAAGGCATGACCAGGGCAGCAAGCCTGCCCACTACCTTTCCATTATTTATTCATTCCTCATCAGTACTCATGAAGCACCTGTCATGTGATGCCAACCATTACTCAGCTCTTGGGACTGATGCACAGAAAGGCCGACTGTGACCTCCTCTAGAAAGACAACAGTGTCCGGCTGTAGTTGTGACTAGTGTTCTAAGGAGCTTGGCTATTTGCAAGTGTCTTTGCTGGTCATAGACTACCATGGCCATCAGAGTAACGATTCTCGGGGACAAGTTCAGCATGACTCAGTAACTAATGTTGGTTCAAACTTCATCTGACCCCAAGTAGTTTATTTTAGGCATATTTAAGCTGCATAATTTGGTGAAAAATTTCCTGGTGATAATCCACTCAGTCCCATATACACAGTAAAGCTTAAGATGTGACTATATTGAAACTCTTTTTAAATAAATGTGACATCTTCCATAAAGATCGGTTCTATAGATTGATAAGCTCATGATAAAGGTTTGGGGGAGGTCACCAAGCTATGAACTGCATTCCCTCCTAGCCTTCTGGGTGGATAACAGGTTAGTCATCCCTTCCTTTGAGTGTGCTTATCATTCCTGATTCCCCTGGTGCTAATCTGTGCGTGCAGAGCCTCTGTACTCCCCACAAGCCATCTTGGTGCTACTTTGACAAGCAGAAAGACGAGGCTCTCAGGTTAGCCCATAGACTGCATTCCTGCATTTTCATAGAGCACCTGCTCTCGCGTGCTCTTGTAAAAACATCCCCCTCTGTGTTTGTATGCACTGGGGCTTTGGGCCTCACCAGTGTGTATCTGAGAAGATAACTTTGCAAATACTTCAAGTCATTTTTCCAGCCCTGTCTGTGTGTTTGCCTGAGCCTCCACTTCTCTGTCCCACCTCATTTGTGAGGCACCAGCAAGAGGCAAAGCTATGCCAAGTGAAGGGTGGATCCTGAGCCTTGATCCTTCCAGCACTGTCCTCTTATCCCTTGTCCTAATCCACACACACTCAGTGAGACCTCATGAGAGCTATGGCACCCGATGTTAACACTCTAGAAAGAAAAGGCACAGAAGAGAGAGTGACTGAGGATTCTTCAGTTCATCTGCTGGTCTTTGATGGCCTAGGGACCAGGCATGCACCTGTGACATCTCGACTAGGCAGGGAGTTCCACTTTGAACAAAACCTTCACGAGACTTGTTTCCTAGAGCTGCTACAATGAAGATCACAAATTGTGGGGCTTAAGTCAATAGAACTCACTCTCTCTCAAAGACAGAAGCCCCCAGTCAAGATGTCAGCAGGCCATGCTCTCTCCCAAGGCTCCAGAAACTGTGGCTGACACGCAGAAGAGAAGCAACTTATGGCAGGAAAGGATTTCTTCTGGCCCGTGGCTTCGGAGGGTTTCAGGGCGTTACAGCAGGAGGAGTGATGGAGTGGCTTTGGTGCGTGGAGGAAACAGTTCATTCCATATCTTCCCAACCAGAGGAATAAGCAAAGACATTTCAGACTCAAGTGGGAACAGTCACCTCAGAATCCCCAAGTTCATAGCCATCTCAGTACAAAATGCACTTAGTCCAACTTAGAAGTCTTCACAGTCTTTGTTTGAAACCGAGACTTTATTATTTTTTTATTTTGCATATGGGTGCTTCTGTTGTATGTTTGTCTGTGCACCACGTGCATGCCTGATGTCCTCAGAAGCCAGATAGTCATGAGAAGCAATATAGGTGCTAGAAATTAAATTCAAGTCCACTAGAAGAGCAGCCAGTGCTCTTTACCACTGAGCCATCTCTCCAGCCCCCAACCGTAAGTCTTAACAACCTCGACTCTGTTCAAATGTCTAAAGTCTCTTCCAAAACATAGGCAAACTTTGAACCCTGATCCTTATGACACCAAAAGGAGTCACACATTCCCAATATACTGTGGCAGGTGTCAGCATCCTCATTTCCAAACAGCAGGAGCAGGAAGGCAGTAAGAGTGGACCACAGAAAGTTCAAAGCCAGGCATATTAAATCCTAGTGCTCCATTCCTGCCATCTGGATATGTATCATGGCGTTGACTCCAAACAGGCTTGGGTACCCTGCCCACATGGCCCTGCCACTCTAAACACACGTACATTCTTTCTTTGCTTTTCTCAACAGGCATTCTGTGCTCCTGGCATGTCCCAAGGTCCCCACTGACATTTATGCTTTACTCTCATAGCTTCCTGCATAATCTGTCAGGGACTTTCTTCAGTCTCATGTCTGTGCAGGGCTGGGGCGATGGCTCAGCTGGGCATGGTGACACCTGCTTGTCATTACAGCACTAGGAGACAGAGGTAGGTCAGTCCTGGGACTCAGTGGCTAGCCAGCCTAGCCTACTACTTGGCAAGCTCCTGTCTCAAGAAACAAGGGAGAAAGCTTCTGAAGAACATCTGAGGTGTCAGTGAAACCACCATGACTCTGTAGGTCTTGCCTTTGGCATGCCGGTGAAACCAGTACCATGTTACAGTGCGAGCTCTGCTGAGAGCCTGTGATGTGCCCAGGCCTGCTTGGGCTGTGGCTGCAGCTACCGAGTGCTGGGCACATAAGCTCGGAAACCACTTCTCCAGCAGCCCTTGGCCGCCCCTCTCCTGTAAAACCTCCTAGATACACCCAGAGCCTTCGGTGGGTGACAGTTTGCCACTCCCTGAAATGCCATCAGAGAACTTTTTTGTCTCAGTCCAAAGTGGCATTCCTGTCTTTGACAACTGTGGCCTCTTTTTCTAATTTGCTTTGTCTGTGACTTTAAACATACTCATTTCTGACCAAACTGTTTAATTCTCATTTTTGCTCCGTGTCTTTTTCTCTGAAGTCTCATGATAAACCTAGCTAACAGACACCCATAAAAACCATATTACAAGGGCTGGAGAGATGGCTCAGTGGTTAAGAGTGCTGCCTGCTCTTCCAAAGGTCCTGAGTTCAATTCCCAGCAACCACATGGTGGCTCACAACCATCTGTAATGGGGTCTGGTGCCCTCTTCTGGCCTGCAGGCATACACGTAGACAGAATATTGTATACATAATAAATAAATAAATAAATAAATAAATAAATAAATAAATAAATATTTAAAAAAACCATATTACAAGCAGAATGCTGTACTATCTTCAATTTTTTTTCTGCTGAGTTATTTTCCATTACTTTTTAATTTAACCTCACTTAAAATTTCAGGATACAGCAGGACATAGACAAAATCTATGCAAGAATGCACAGGACAGGCCACAGTTCTGCTCACGAGAGCCCTTGTTGTGACCCAAAGCCTCGCAGGCCTCACACTCACTTCTGTTGATATTCTGGCTCCTGCATTCACAGAAATCTCTTACTCTGAGACTCCTCCAGCTTGCTTCTCCACCCTCTGCCCTCCTCCTGTGAACTGGTTCCCAGACAGTCACCAACGTTCCTAGTACCAGTTTCTTGTTAGTTACTTCTGCGTCATATTAACCAAATATCTGACAGGAGCAGCTTCCAGAGGAAGTGTTTAGTCTAGCTCATGGTTTCAGGGGGCTCTGTCTGTCATGGCAAGGAAGGATGTCAGAACAATTCAGTTCATGGTGGCCAGACCATGAGGCAGAGACCATTCATATGGTGATAGACCAGAGATCATAGAAGGTACCAGAGCCAGGTATTGGTATACTATATAACCTTCAGCTGCTCACCCCTTCCCAGATAGTACTACCAGCTAAGGACGGAAAATCAAAACATGAGCCTGTAGGGGACATTGCAGATTCCGACCATCACCAACTTCTCTGGCGTCCATCGGCTTACAGCTGCTCACCCGCTCCTCTGTTTCCCCAGACATTGCCATCTTCCCACTTTGTGTATTTGTTCCTGTGGGTCTCATGAAGGCTGTGGCCACGGCACATAAAACCCTCTCTAACCATTTTGACATCATCTTAACGTGATTAATGTATAAAGACTCTAGTAGTAGGAACTGAACCATCCTTTCGGGGGACACAGTTCATCGTATAGTGTAACTGTCCAGCCCAGCCCAGTTATAGCAGATCTTGCAGATTCTAACTTGGACATTGTACAGTGTTTACCTCAAAGCTTGCCTCAGCTATATATAGGAGTTTATCTCAAAAAACAAAAACAAAACAACAAAAACAAAACAAAGAAACCCCCCAAATAAAGTGGTTACCTCAGTTAGTAAGCACCAGAGCCAAGGTAAGCCCAAGTTTGCCAGCTTTAATTCTTTTTAGCAGCTAGGATTCCTTTTATTAACAATAACAAAATAAGTAGATCATACTATAACTGATCCAGTTTTGTGCTTTAAAATCTGTGGTCAGTGATGCCCAGTGTCCCTGATGATTTTCTTTCTTGGTCCACGGAAGCTTGTTGGAGTCCGAAGCCCCAATATAAAAACTACTTTTCCCTAACTGGACTGATACGGAGGTGCGGGAAATAATGAGACACAGTTCACACAGCAATATCGGAAGGGCATCTAGGGCTTCATTCATTCCTGAAGATCTACCCCCGTTTATTCTTCAAACCTTTTATTCCCCCCAGGTAAACCAAGGTAGAAACTCATTAATATTCTCTTTCTGGCGGACCCAGGAGTGCCTGCAACTTAGTCAGCACCTGGAATCCACACCTCTTCCCAGGCGATCTACATAATAACAAAGAGAAGGAGCAGTCAGTCCTGAGTCTTGTTAGGTGACTACAGGTGTCTGGCAGGATAGCAGCTGCCCTTGGATCTAAGCATGGCCAGAGAACCTGGCTGCAAATATCTCGTATGAAATATGTGCTTTCTGTGTGCGCTCACACAGAACAGGTTGCATTGTTAGCACTGCCAAGCCCCTCTGCAGACGTTAGATGCTCTGATCTTTTGTTTCTTCTCTGTTTCATTTTGGGTAATATGTTTTACTGATGTGTCTTTATTAATTCTCCTCAGCTGTGCTTTGTGTACAGGTAAGTCCAAGGAATACTTCACCACCGATGCTGTTTCATTTCTTTTCTAGCATTTACATTTGACTCTGAGGTTTTTGTTTGTTTTTTGTTGTTTTTTGTGGGGTTTTGGTTTTGTTGTTGTTATTTTGGTTTAGTTTTGTGGTTTTTCAAGATAGGGCTTTTCTATGTAGCCTTAGCTGTCCTTGGCTGCCCTGGAATTCACTCTGTAGACCAAACTGACCTCAAACTCACAGAGATCTGCCTGCCTCTGTCTCCTAAATACTGTCTCCTCCACTGGCCTCATCTTGTTAGGTTTTTGTTTTTGTTGTTGTTTGTTTTTATTTTTAGGTTTGTGTGTGTGTGTGTGTGTGTGTGTGTGTGTGTGAGAGAGAGAGAGAGAGAGAGAGAGAGAGAGAGAGAGAGAGAGAGAGAGAGAGAGAGAGAACAGTGCCAGTGGAGGCCAAAAGAGGGCTTCAGGTCCACTGGAGCTGGATTTACAGGCAGTTGTGACCATCTGACAGGGGTGCTAAGAGCCTAACTTGGGTCCTTTGCGTGAGCAGTGTGCACTCAAAACTGCTGAGCCATCTCTCCATCTCTCCAGTCCCAACATTTGATTCCTTTGGGTTTTTGAGACAGGGCTGATCTCAAATTTCATGAAATTCCTAATCCTCCTGCCTCTGTCTTCTAAGTGCTAGAATTATAGTCTTGTAGTACATGCCTCGTTCACTCGACTTTTCCTGTTGTGTCCACACCCGTCTTGGGTTTCTCATCTGTCCTAGTGTGTGTCTTTCTTTTCACTATAGGCTGTACTGTATTCCTGCAGCCTCTGTGGCTGACAGTTCCAACATCTGGGTCACTCATGCATTTTGTTCATGGATTGCTTTTTATCTTGACAGTGAATCTTCCCCCATGTTGTCTTGCTTTTATGTGTGTGCTGTGGTATTCTGTTTAATGCCACACACTGTGGGTGGAATGGTAGCTGCTAAAGTAAATAGCATTTATACTTGGGCGGCCTGCTTAGTTTGGGAACTAGGCTGGGTCTGTCAGTAGCTGAGCTAGGTTTGGGGTGTTTGTCTGTCTTTCCCTTTGATGCAGGCACCCTCAGATTCCCGAAGTTGTGGTTACAGTAGAGTAAAGTAGTGGTTTTTTAGTATTTAGTATTTAGTATTTAGTTCCACGCTCAGCTTTGAGCAGGGTCTTTTGTGTCCTGCCCTTGTAGGAGATGGCCATTGTTACTTGGTGCTCTTTGTGGAAAGGCATGGGGGTTGCTGGTTCCCCTGCCTATCTTCAGCTTAGGGCATGCCACTAGCCACAGGATCAAGGTGATTTCAGTGGCTCGCCAATCCCCCATCTCCCAGAAGCAGTGGGCCTTTACCTTGTTACTAAGAAAGTAGTCTACTCCCTCCCCAGGCTCAAACATGTTTCACATCTGCCTCTCTCCGATGGCCCCGGGAGCAATGAACTAACTGCCCTCTCCCAGCAACTGGGCTTTTGCCTCCTTTGAAAGGAGGGCCCGGGAAGTAGGAGGTGTTCCAGGCTTGCCCTTAGCAGCAACCTTTCACCTCCTACACGCCTGTGCCACCAAGTGGAACTCTGGCTGACTGCTTGACACTGCTCACTCCTGCCAGTGCTGGGAGGCAAACACCACAGTATCTCAGGCTCCCGGTGCCCTCAGTGGAAAAGTCAGGCTGACGCTGCCCCTGGGAACCTGTTACAGTTTGAACTGCAGCTGTCTCACGTGCTCTGTGGTGGTCACCTCTCTCCTGTGCTCTGGCACAGATGAGCTCAATTCTGTGGCCCAATTTGTACTTGTTAGTATTAAATTTCCTTGGTTGTCTTGAGACCTCGGCTTCTGATCTTGAGCTTTCTCATTCCTAGGATGAGAAAGAAGCTTGCTTTGTTTGTTTTCCCAGAGATCAACCCCAGGGACACACTCGCTAGTCAGGGGCGCTACCACTAAGCTCTCGCCAGCGTTTGGTGTTTTGAGACAGGGTCTTGAACTGACCATCCTGCCCTCAGCCTCCTCCGCATTAGAACTACAGGCTCCACCACCAGGGCCAGCAAAGCAGTGTATTTTCTTTACTTCTTTGTGTGCTACCTAGAGAAGAACTCGCCTAGCGCCTGTGGAGATGTAGCTCAGGGGAAGAGTGCTTGCTGAGCCTGCTCATGGCCCTGGGTCCCATCCCAGCACTGAGGAATAAACTATCTTGTAAATCCTATTCCTGCACTCCCTCCTGAAGTCTTTCATCTCCAAGGTTGTGGTGAGACAGAAAGTGGCCATATCACCTTTCTAAAGACTTGTCAATCAAAAATAAGTCCAGAGAAAGCATAGCTGATACAGAGCTCCTGAATCTGGGCTCACCCCTTGGGTGCTTCTGGGGATCCAACCATGGCCACACATGCTAGGCACTTGTTCCCCCTCACGCGAGCACTGTGCCTCTGAGGTCCTGCAGCCCTGAGGAGACGCAAGCCCTTCCCTTGAGGACTTGAGTCTGCAAACCCCCTCCTCTGCCAGGAGGTCCCCGTGTCGCCATGCACTTTATCTCCCGTGTCCTCTCACTGTCACAGGATACAGGAGCAGGTGCTGGCCCTAAACTGGAAACACAAGTGAGAGGCCTGGGAATGAGGTGCAGCCCCTAGGATCACATGGCTCTGCTGGTCCTGAATCCAGACTGCCTGACTCCAGCCAAACCCCAGCGTAGGCTGCTCTTCTGAGCACTAAGTGTACAGTCTCCTGGGGGAACCAAATAGTCTACACAGGCATTCGTTCAGGGTGTAAGTGATTCCTTTTGTGATTTGATCCTAAAACCCAAGATGGTCTGGTTTTGTAGCTGGAAACAATGTCCCTAATAGGATCACATTTCTTAGGAGTTTGTTGTGCCGAATTAGAGAGGAGCCCAAGGCTGAGACTCAGGCCCACTGTCTTCTCTTCTGCAGCTCTCGTGGGCGCCTGCGGTGGGAACTACTCAGCCATGGCAGCCGTGGTCTACTCTCCTGACTTCCCAGACACCTATGCCACCGGGAGGGTCTGCTACTGGACTATCCGGGTCCCAGGAGCCTCTCACATCCATTTCAACTTCACCTTATTTGATATCAGGGATTCCGCAGACATGGTGGAGCTGCTGGACGGCTACACCCACCGTGTCCTGGTCCGCTTCAATGGAAGGAACCACCCGCCCTTGTCCTTTAATGTCTCTCTGGATTTTGTCATTTTGTATTTCTTCTCTGATCACATCAATCAGGCCCAGGGATTTGCTGTCTTTTACCAAGGTAAGACATCCTTCTGGGAGCATAGGTGTCTTGGCCTTCTCTTTCTTACCAGGGTTTTCAAGCCTACAGTGGTTCTTTTGGGGCAGACATGGACCTACTGACTCAGCTGCAGATGATCTTAACACTGATTCATCCCCACCTTCCAGTGCCCAACTCCCCACCTTCCAGTGCCCAACTCCCCACCTTCCAGTGCCCAACTCCCCATCTTCCAGTGCACAGCTCCCCACCCTCCAGTGCCCAACTCCCCACCTTCCAGTGCACAATTGGTTTATATTTCAATTTCACTATTTTAATATTTCTGTTTATTTTAGATTTTATTTATATCTTTGTGAGTGTATGCCACGGGTATGTGGGTTGCTTTGGGGACCAGAATAGGGCACCAGATCACCAGGAGCTAAAGGTATAGTCAGGCAGCTGTGAACTGCCTTACATGGGTGCTGGGAACCAACCTCAGGTCCTCTGAAAGAGCAGGCCATTGAGCCCTCTCTTCAGCCTGGTTTAGTAGTGTTAGTGGCAGTTTTATAGACAAGCAAATGGATAGATAAGAGAGGTGGACGGCAGGTGAAAGGCTCCTAAATGGTCAGTTCGTCCATTCTGCTTCTTCTAAACATCCCAGGCAGTCCCACAAACTTACTTGCCATCTTTTCTCAGGGACGTACACTCTTCCCCTCTGCTATGAACATATGTGCAGACATGAGCCTTTGCTAGCCCCTGAAAAGCACAGGTATTGAACTGCACAACTCAACAGAAGTTAGGGTAGTGGGCTAGAGTAAGTGGTGCAGACTAATGGAGGAGGTGGGATTGGGTTGGTCATAGCAAGGAGGTACTGCAGAGCACAAAGGTGGGGTTCCGTGTCTGAGAGACCAGCTCATGACTAGAATCAGTGGTCTCTATTTTCCGCCCCTGCATAGCCACTACCTGCTATAGCCTGACAGGTTCTACTTTGTTATCAGGGAGACCAGAAGAGGAAACGGCGTGTATGCTTGAATCAGAACAGGTCTCATTCAGCACTTCTGGCACATACCTGTAATGCCAGCTCTTGGGTGGTAGAGGCAGGAAAATTAAAAGTTTGGGGCATCCTCAACTACATAGCTGGAGGCTAGCCTGGGCTATATGAGACCCACATACATGCACTCCACATGCATGTGCACCCACATACTTGCACCCCACACATACATACACCCACACAATGCACTCTACATGCATGTGTGTCTGCAACACATGTACCCCACATGCATGTCCACCCACACACACGCACCCTACATGCATGTACACCCAGACACGTGCACCTCACATGTGTTTATACCCATACTCATGCACCCACATGCATGTGCACCCACACCCATCAAAACATTCTCTCACATACAGAGAAAGAAAAATAGAAATGGCCTCACCCCGACCAGAGCAGTGTTCTTCTTCTTGCTGTCTTCCTTGGCTTTCTCTGGTTAATCCTTTTGATCTTCTAGCCACCAAGGAAGAACCACCACAGGAGAGGCCTCCAGTCAACCAGACACTGACAGAGGTGATCACCGAACAAGCCAACCTCAGCGTCAGTGCTGCCCACTCTTCCAAAGTCCTCTATGTCATCACCACCAGCCCCAGCCACCCACCGCAGACTGTCCCAGGTAGCCATTCCTGGGCACCATCAGTTGGGGCCAGCAGCCACAGAGTGGAAGGTAGTTCCCTCAACCCTTCCAGAAACAAAGGCGCTTGTGGGTGCTTCTCCTTCAGACACAGGTTGGGATATTGGCTCTGCAACCTCTAGTCTGCATGACCTTTGAGAGAAAGTTCTCCTCAACTTAGGTCCCTTCTAAAGATGGACTCTGTGTGCCTTTGGTACCTGTGATTAACAGCTATGCTGGTTTCTTCATCATTATAAGAAAAGACACCATTCTGGGAACATCTTTCTAGAGCCCCAGGGTAGAGCTTATTCAGAAGGTACATACAGGCTAGAGGTTGGCCCAGCCATAGAACATGCACCAAAATGGAGAGAAACAATAAGACCAAAAGACACAGAATTCCTCCAGTGATACGATGCACTGTTCTAAACACTGGACCATACACTGAACTAGATAAACCCCTGCCCTTCTTTGTCTACAAACATGAGGCTAGTCTCTAAGCTTTGGACAGCACAGGCCAGACATTCCTCCCCTTCTGCAGAGCGAAGTGCACACAGAATGCTAGGACAATACTGTGCATATTTCCTGTGGTTGCCAGTGGGAGGAAGAAAACCAGACACACTGTCAAAGGTCAGAAGCACTAAGAGCTGTGAAGAGAAACCATGCAGGAGAGACATGGGCCGTGATCTCCTTCCCTCCTTTTCTGTCGAGGGCATGGTCTCTGAATGAGCTGGGGCCATCTATCATTTGGTCATGAGGTCTTCACACTCTCCCTGTCCTCTGTGGAGCTCACCGTAGAAGGTCAAGGAGGGAGGCCTCTCCAGCCCCCACACCATTTGACTAGATTCCAGAATTTCATAGGTCACACTTCTCGTTGCTCAGACAGAGAACTGGGACCCAAAGACTTCTAGGTGACTGACTGATGAGTTCTGGTGGCAGACAGATTCACCACACCCCCTTTGACTCCAAGTCCAGTGTTTGGAATTTACAGAGGAAGTTTCAGAACAAGGCAAAGCCATAAGAAAGTTCCATGCTCAGCCCAGCTCCTGTTACTCCACTGCCAGGTTTGCTGGCTGCTCCCACCTGCAGAGTGGACAGAGCCCCCAGCACCGCCAGTCTCCTTTGGAAAATAAAGACAAATCTGGTGAGCTCTCTTTGCACTTGCAGGATGGACCGTGTATGGCCTGGCAACCCTCCTCATCCTCACAGTCACAGCCGTCGTTGCCAAGATCCTTCTGCATGTCACATTTAAGTGAGTACAGGAGAGGGCGGGGAGGCCCGGCAGCCCTTGCCTCTGCCATTCTTCCTTTGGGTACAGTTGTGAACTGAGTGTGACTCCAGAGGCTGAGTCCCAGCAGCACAAGTCAGAGACCGTTCCTCCTCCTCTCAAAAGAAACAGACAACAGGACAGATCACACTGAGGTGGAGGGATTCTGTGTTCAGTAGATGCAGTTCCAGGAAGGGTTGAAACCATGCTGGCAGAGGAAACAGCAGTTCTGCTTGGGTGTTTGTGCTGTTCCCTTACAGAGGTTTGCATTTAAGTCAAGCTTCCTAGGACAGTACTGTCCATTTTTCTTAGTGCCTCTAGAAACTAAGGAAGTCTTACAAAGAGAATTTCAACATTTCAGTTAGTGCTGCTTAATAATCTGCACTAATTTATTCTTTGACAGTCACATACATGTATAGAATTCACTCTGCTCACAGCCACCCCACACCTCTCCTCTCCCCTCCTCCCATCACCCCTACCAGGCCCCCATCCCACTGTGCTCAGGCAGGGCTGCCCACGTGGACGTGGGTGTGGAGCCGTGCACTGGAGCATGAGCAGCTCACTGACTCCTCACCTCCAACCCCCTCTCTGCCATTCACCCACAAGCCACTCCCTTACCTGTGACTAAACATTTAGTTCAGTCTTATACAGACCCTGTGTGTGCCGCCATGGCTGCCACAACTCCCTGAGTGCCAAAGCCATGCCATAGCCATAAGACAGCACTTCATATCACCTGTCTCTCATGTTATTTCCATAGTGTTCCCTGACCTTAATGGTATCCATTTTAAGGCTCAACAATCCCTTGTTCTCCGCATTTGACCAGCCATGGCCTCTGCATTTATTGCTGTTTGCTATGGAAAATGTCTTAGATCCAGGCCGAGAGCAGCACTGAAGCCCTGTGCTGTTTGTGCTGGTGTCTGGGGCTCTGTTGGCCTGTGTATGCCCCTACTCTGTCTTATCCCTAGATGGCCAGTAAATATACCTATCACCCTAAACATTATTTTTGAACATTTATTTAAGCCAGATACCTATAATCATAGCTACTTAGAAAGCTGAAGCAGCATTATGACTGAGGCCAATGTGAGCAGCTCATCGAGACCCTATTTCTGCGAGGTACAGTAGCTCATGCCTGTGATCTCAGTGCTCACTGGGCAAAGACAGCAATATTGCTACAAGTGTGAGGCCATCTTTTTCTACATAATAAATATCAGGCCAGCCTGGACTACAAAGGGACACTGTCTCAAATAAAACAAGAAGCAAAACCTGTCTTCATTTCTTTAACTAAAGGATAAAGGCTTTATCACTTAGTCGAGTAAAACTGAAGAAAGGAAGTTGTTCCCTGTGTGCTCTGCCTTCCAGGAGAGTGCTGTCTGTGTGCTTTCTATAGACTCCAGTTATCTTTCCTCTGGTTCCCACTTAAAGGCCTTCCTGAACTCCGAGTTCTAGTAAGAGCCACCCTTCCTGGCCTCCTTTGCCCTCTGCTGCAAACATTTACACATGGAGGCCAGCTGTGGCCACACTAGTGACCTGACTCTCTCCTCTCTGGACTTCTGTAGCAGAAATAATGTCCTTACTGTTGTCGGCTGAGCTCACCGTTTACACAGATATACACACACACACACACACACACACACACACACACACACACACACACGCAGAGAGAAAGAGGGAAATGTGGGGGGAAATGTCTTGATATCTGTTGAGATTTATTTTCAGAACATAATGTGGGTGTCAAATCTTGAGTCTTCTCAATGCCTTTTTGTAAAATGATGTAGAACTGAACACAACTAATGTCTCTCCACACAGTGTAGACTCCAGTGCACCTCTGCACTGCTCTCCTCACAGTGTAGACTCCGCTGCACCTCTGCACTGCTCTCCACACAGTGTAGACTCCGCTGCACCTCTGCACTGCTCTCCACACAGTGTAGACTCCGCTGCACCTCTGCACTGCTCTCCACACAGTGTAGACTCCGCTGCACCTCTGCACTGCTCTCCACACAGTGTAGACTCCGCTGCACCTCTGCACTGCTCTCCACACAGTGTAGACTCCGCTGCACCTCTGCACTGCTCTCCACACAGTGTAGACTCCGCTGCACCTCTGCACTGCTCTCCACACAGTGTAGACTCCGCTGCACCTCTGCACTGCTCTCCACACAGTGTAGACTCCGCTGCACCTCTGCACTGCTCTCCACACAGTGTAGACTCCGCTGCACCTCTGCACTGCTCTCCACACAGTGTAGACTCCGCTGCACCTCTGCACTGCTCTCCACACAGTGTAGACTCCGCTGCACCTCTGCACTGCTCTCCACACAGTGTAGACTCCGCTGCACCTCTGCACTGCTCTCCACACAGTGTAGACTCCGCTGCACCTCTGCACTGCTCTCCACACAGTGTAGACTCCGCTGCACCTCTGCACTGCTCTCCACACAGTGTAGACTCCGCTGCACCTCTGCACTGCTCTCCACACAGTGTAGACTCCGCTGCACCTCTGCACTGCTCACAATATCTAGCAGTGCCATTGCAATGTTGTTGTTAGTGAATAATGAAAAGGAATAAACACTAGATGTGTCAGCACAGGCTGACCTCATTGATGTAGAACCTTCACCTTCAAAGGACCTACTAGGTGTGTTAAATGTTATAATCTGCATTCTAGAAAATCCTATCTGTGTGTCCCTGCACTAGCTCCAGCACCCAGTGTCTCATAGCAGGGCTGAAGCCCTAAAGCACACACCTCACTCCTCTTAACCCTGGAACCTTCCACAGTTTCCCTGCCTGTCAGGAGGTGAAGAGAAGGGCGGGCTAGGAATAGGGATGTTAGTCGGGGCTCTCTGCTTCACACTGAGAATGTCCCCTACCTGATTAAGATAGGCAGCCTTCTAAGTAAGTGGCCTTTGTAGATAGTATTGTTTTATGGGGTGGGGAGAGAAGAAGATGAAGAAAAGAAGAATATTTGAAAATTAATTCATAATCTCTCCAACAGCCTTTTCCAGCTTTGAATTATTTTGACAGAAAGTCCCTCGTTACCATGAGGAGAGTGCCCTGCGGCCTGCCTCGATGCCCATGCCCACAGGCCAGATTTCATTCTTCACTCTTTGTTTTTCCAGACAGAGTTTCTCTGTGTAGCCCTGGCTCTCCTGGAACTCTGTAGACTAGGCTGGCCTCAAACTCACAGAGATCCGCCTCCTGCTTCCTCCTGAGCTGGGATTAGCGGCGCGTGCTGCCTTTCCAGCCTTGATCTTGATCTTTAAGGCAGCAGCGTCCTCCCTAGGCTGCGCCTCCCAGGTCCAGGTGCCTTCTCAGGTGATGATCTGAGTGCTTTGTTCAGATCTGCTTGAAAAATTATTTTCATTTGGCAGGTCTCATCGTGTTCCTGCTTCGGGAGACCTTAGGGACTGTCGTCAATCAGGGGCTTCTGGGGAGATCTGGACCATTTTCTATGAACCTTCCACTACAATCTCCATCTTTAAGAAGAAGCTCAAGGGCCAGAGCCAACAAGATGACCGGAACCCCCTTGTGAGTGACTGAAGCCACACCACACTGAGACAGGAGGCTGCTCCTGAGCTGAAGGTTGCTGGGGTCCTGCTGCAGGGGCGCAGTGGCTGGAGTCCTCCATCACATGCATTTAGGCTGGACACTCGGAGCTCGGCCCCTGGCCTGCAGCTCTGCCAAGACTGGGGCTGAGTTGACAGGACACAGCTGGACCTGATTCTAGACAACTGTTGGGTGGTGGGTAGTTTAATGTGTGATGCGTTTTTATTTTCTATTTTGACCGTGTATGGATCAGTTTCCCCTGATCTTTACAGTTTGGAACAGAGCCAGACTGAAGAAATTCTCGGGTTTTCTTGAAGGCTGGCCTGGTTCCCTGCCAGATGTGGTCGTCTAGCTGTTAGCACCTCAGAGTGCACAGAGGCCCAGTGCCCTGGTCCAGGCCTGCAACGTTCTCTCTGATGCCGACTAAGATGTGCCTCATCTAGTCTGAGGGGACTGAGAACAGGGTCACACTAGATGTCTTCTTTCTAGAGGCCTGCAGGGCTAACCTGGGGATTGAGCACAAAATATCCACCTGTTTGTCCATGGGGCGACACAGTAAACTGCTTGTGTACTAGACTTACCTAGCCTGGCCCCCAAGCAGTTCACAGGTCTGTGGAATCTGAACTCAGCCTGTCCCTCTGTCCTCTCAGCTAACTTCGAGTTCAAAACAAGGAGTTTAAAGGCTGTAGCATAGTGTGGGGGCTGTAGCTCAGTGGTAGAGAGCTTGCCTTGCATACACGAGTCCCTAAGATCAATGCCAATACTGCCAAAAAAAAAAAAAAAAGAGAGAGAGAGAGAAACTGTAGCATAGCCTGTGGGCAGCATCCTGTGATGAGACAGAGACCTGTGGATCCTACATGAGGTGTCTACCATTTTAAAAGAAGACCACAAACTACCAAGAGCTATGTCCTTTGTCCCTTATCAGGGGGACAGAGTAGTTAGGGTAAGGGCTCTTGTCTTGTCCTGTCACTCTGCCCCTTAGACAGGGAGGCAGACTACGGAAGCTGGCAAAAGGAAAAGGCAGAGCCTGGGAACTGGAGATCTTTCCAGGAGAGGCTGAAAGATTTAGAGTCCCAGTTACAGTGCCGCCAGTTGTGAGAGGAAGGGCCACCCCTGATGGAGAAGCCCTGCAATCTGGAAGTGACCTTGGTCAGCAGTAGCTGAGAGGAACAACCTGTGCCCTGAAGGGGACCCTGGTCGCTCTCTTGTCAGCACTTGAGCTTTGGAGCTGTGGGCCTCTGATCTCCTGGGTGCCCTCCTGGAGCACTACTTACCTCTCCTGCGTCTCTAAGCCGCTGCCATTGAGGCCTCTTGTAGGGTTGGCCAGCCCGTCAGTAACTGGCTGCTCCCAGGTAAGAGGACTATATGGGACCATGGGGGAGCATCCTCAGGGAGAGGCAGTGACCAGAGCTGATGGATAGAGAGGCAACTGGAGGGGGAAACTGTGACTCTACAGCGGGCCAGGGGTGCTGTCCAGCTCCCATGGGAGGCCTGCAGGGTACAGAGCTGCTGGGGGTCATCTGGAAAAGCGGCAGGCGCCACAGTCTGAAGACAGGCTGACCACGCACAAGGACCGCTGGAAATAGACTGACAGGAGCAGGTTCCAGGCCAGGCTGTTCATAGCGTGTGTGGGAGCCTCGGAAAGCAAGTGTTAAGTCACAGAGCACCATGTGGGCTCTCCAGGGAAGGCTCAGCTGGCCAGGACATTTGTCTAGCTCTGCTCACTGGCACCACCGCTCACCTGCTTCTCCACATCGCAGGCTCAGGAAGGAGGAAGCTGCCCCGGTGGTGGCAGCTACAGCTCAGCTGCCCTTCACTGCCGTCCTCAGGAAGGGCAGTGGACGTGCCCACACTCCTTGCTGCTGGCCCGGGCACAGCCCAGCACCCCAGTATGCACTTCCTCTTGGGGACCAGCCCCAGGAAACACAAGCCCACCTTACCATAGCATGGGGCAGTGGGAAGCTGTGAATCGCCCGGGCCAGGTCCCCAGCAATGATAGCACACTGTGAGTCTGTCAGCGGCTTGTGTACCAGTGGGGGAAACACGGAGAGGTGGGCAGCCCGAAGCTGAGTGTGCTGGGGGCAGGGGTGTTTGAGTCGAGGCGGGTGGAGATCGCCGGAGGAGGAGAGCAGCACAAAAGACTGCGGAGACCCTCAGAGACCTAGGTGTGGGCACAGCTAGACCCAGCGGTCCCACTGCTGGAAAAGTAGACAGTAGGGAGAAGCCTGTGTCTTCCCCACGTCCCACAGCATGGGGCTACGGCTGCCTAGGGTGGGCAAGGTGACCAGACCTCTGACTTCCCCAACTATGAGCCCCTGCTGCAGATTCCTCAGCCAGAAGCTCTCAAAGATCAAAGCTCTGGCAGGTACCGCTGTCCTGACCCTGAGCCAGCCCATGGGATGTGCCTGGGCCAGGTGCCAGCCCACGTCCCAATGTCAGCCCAGGCAGGACCCCACCTGACCCTCCTCAGCCACTGGCCTGACACCAGCAGGACTTGTCCAGCTGCTGCCAGCATGGGGACAGTCCCCACTTAACCTTCAAGAGCACTTAGAAGCAGATGGCCTTCCAACTCTGCCGGCCTATCTGCAGGGCCCACATTGGGCTCCTCACTCCACAGCCCTCCGTGGGGCTTCTCTGGGGGTTGGAATCTCCTGTTTGGAGTTTGATGTCCACTTTGGGTGCTGCCTTGGGAACCTCTGTCCTCACCCTCCCCCCAGGCCGCTCTCAGCCTAGCTGCTGTAGTATGAGGTGGGGGACTTGTCAGACCCACCAGCCACCCGCGTTGGCCAGCAGAGCCATGTTGGAACTGAGTGCGCTGGCTGAGGCTGAGTGGGCAGAGGGACAGTAGGAGGTGATTCTCCCCCGTCAGAGGGAAGTATACAAGGGATCCTTTCTTGCCAACACAGGGAGCTGCCATCCCTGCCACCCTCATGGCACCAAGACCTTCCCCTTTCCAAACTCTCCCTCCAGCAGGGATCTGACTTTGGACAACAAGGCTTTATTTGTAAATATGCTCTTAATATACAACGTTGAGAACAGAACAGAAACATCGTGTATTTTAAAGTATAAAATGAAGTGTGACACACTGTATACAATTTAATATATATTTTTAGGATTTTGTTATTTAAGAAAATGGAATGTGATGGTACTTAACTTTTACAAAAGAGAGAAAAATGTTATTTTTACTGTTTGAAGAAAATAAATATTCTCATTGTTGTAGAAACAGTGGTGGGCCCTAGGCTGTCATTTGTGCAGGGCATCCCAGGAGCCGGCCCACAGCAAAGAGTGTGGTGCTGGGTCAGGCCCTGGCCGGCTCTCCTGGTGGTTTCTGGGTTTCATGGTCTTGTCGTTGCTTGGCCATAGCCGTGGCACAGCTAGTGAGCTCCAAAGACCGGGACTCCAGATGAGCTCCACCTGCTGTCTGGTAGCCTCAACCTGCTCGCTGTGTACCCACCTCCTTCTCCGCCAGGAAGCAGCCATTACAGATGCCCGATGGAGAGACTGTACCTATCCCAGGAAGAAGGGCGGCCTCCCCGAATAACCCGTGCTCCTCTCTGCCGTCTGCCCCCATTTCTCTCTGTTGTTGGTTTGGGTGAGATAAGGTCTTTCTCTGCTGTGCTGCTCAGGTTCCTCCCGTGTCAGCCTCCCCAGTAACTGGACTACCATGCCCTTATCAGCCCTTTCCTTAAGAAAGCAACCCTTTGTCATGGTCCATCTTATGCCGACAAGGAAAGAAGTCTGGTGAGGCAGTGTGGGTTGTAGCTGGAGCACAGAGCTGTAGTCAGTGACCAGGATTCTGTCCCTCCACTGGGGCCAGAAGGGCAAAGCAGGAAGACTTAGAAGAGCTCCGGCCAGAGCAGCAGCTCCCGGCTTAGAAAGAACCGCTCTTTACGTCCAGAGAAGTCAGGTTAGAGTGAAGAGCAAACCGACACGAGAAGCCAAAGACACAGATCCAGGCAAGTGATGTCAGCCCCACCCTGCACCCCAGCAGGAAAGGCTGACTCTGCCCATAGGACAGGGCACATGCTTGGCTCGAGAGCTCAGGTTACGTTCAAACCCCTCTTACCGTGAGGCCTCTATGTCCAGTGCAGTGGGTTGTATGTGTCATTGCCTACTGTGCATCATTAGTTAAATGGTAGCTGTTGCTTTTGTTCTAGAATATACCTACGGGTTAAGAAAACAGGTCTGTGAGCTTGGTGTCTGGGCAGTAAGAGCCACTCTGCGATAAAACCCTCACGAGTCCTCTGATGGCAGTGTGGGCCATCAAGGCGGGACTATTGGGCATTAGACAGATGGTCTGAGACCCTGCGTGGCTCTGGTCTGAAGAGCTCCTTCCGTGCTAATACCCTAATATCCTTGGGTAAGTGTAGGAGGTGCCCAGAAAACTGCGGGGGTAGTGTTGAGACACGGAGGCAGGTGAGCGGACTAAAGAGGGACTCAGGTGGTGCAGGAGTTTCCCACAGGCAGCAAAGCCAGCCTGCCTGTGGACGTCTGCTGCTCCTTCAAGAGCCCAGCTCTCGAGTCTCCTGGGCCTAGCCAGATTTTTGGGGGTACAGGCCAGCCAAAGAATCCCACCACCATCTGAGATGTGGGCTGTTCATCAGCGTCTGAGCTCAGTCCAGCCCTGTCATATGAGCTTCCCCTAAGACGTGCCCACTGTGTCTAACCACCACTACAGCCATTTGGGAACCTTTACCACAATCAGCTCTGGACGGAATTATTCGCACCGCCAGCTGTGCAAATTGTAGTCCCCTCTTTGCCATCAGACGGTGTTGTTTATTACTCAGCTGCAAAGGCCCCCAGCCCAGATGCATCACAGCACAGAGGGGCGTGGCAAGAAGACACATGACCAACACAACAGGTGTTCCCAGAGGCTTCTTCAGGCAGTACCCTCTCCCCGATTCTGCCCCAGTGGGGACATTTCTGACACCCTTGTGGTGACCACACCACAACTGGCTTTTATCTTTTCTGAGCTTTCCTCTGTTTGCCGAGCACCGCTGTCCTTCCGTGATGGGGAATATGTTTGTAATGGCAGGAAATTGTTGGTGAGAACATGGGCGGCCTTGCTGATAGATCTCAGACGCACTGGGCAGCAACAGGATAATAGTAATAAATGAGACCAGAATGTGCATCTGGTCTGCCCAAAGAATCCTCTTTGGATTATGAGACAACAGGAAGAGACCCCCATGCCCATCTGAATAGAGTTTAGGGCCACCTGACCTTGACCTGGCATGTCCCACATCCTCACAGCCTCTGATCCATCACCAGGGCGGCTCCAGTTGCATCCTTTGTCCTGCAGTCAAAGGCTTTTCCCGTGCAGGGGAAAGGCTGGACAAAGGTGACCTTGTCTCCAAGCCTGTGAGTCACAGGGGCCATATCCTCTCCCAAGTGGGCCATGTGTGTTGAAGCTGTAGGCAGACTCCGGGGCTCAGAGAACTGAGAGGCCTTTGTTCCTCCGCGGCAGTGTTGGGTCCCCACAGGGGTATGTGTTTGCTCCACTGAAGGGGACACTTTGGGGATAGACTATGCCAGCTATAGAATACTTCAGCTTCAAGTCCCGCAGCACTGTCCTGCAGCCGCAAGTCCTCATTTCTGGTCCCCAGCTGCTCTCACTACATGGGCCTACCCCTGCTGCTGGGAGTGGACAGTAGTTGAACATAGAAGCCCATCTTCAGGACAGCCAGCTGCGAGGACAGCCTGGGAAATGAACCTGTCAGCTCTGTGGGGACTGGGCTGGGGACTTTAGAAGAAAAGGAAATTGGAGCTAAGAGGCCCTCGGGAGATCACAGAAAGGTCTAAATTACACAGACTGCAGAAACAAAGCTCAGAATCCTCTTTGCTCGTGGCCAACAGCAGAGCAGCTACCATTATTTGTCCCAGTCACCCAACAAAGCAGGGCCAGGGCCCACTTCTTGTGCTGATCATGTGATTATATCTCGTTAAGTGGCAGAGGCTACAAGGAGTATTTAGACTTCCAAGTTAGCCAGATACAGGGGCAGCATGTTAAGGGCTTTCACGAGCTGAGGGAAGCCACTGGACACGCCGGGGCTAATCACAATGCACCAATAACTCCCGCTCTGAGGTGCTTACTGTGGCACTGACATTGTGCCAAGCACTGCACAGAAATCACTAGAGCCTTCGTTTGTTTGTTTGTTTGACATTTCGGCGCTGGTCAAGATGACCTACAAGCTTGAGGCCTTCTTATGCTGATCCAGAAAAAACAAAGATTTCAATTCAAACCAAAGTCCACCAGCCACTAGAACAGCCATTTTCCATTGACAAGTGTCCCTTGAGGTCTGAGGTGGGATGCTAAGGATCATCCATCCTGCCTTGGAACTGTCCCCTATAGAAATTTTTTTTTTAAAGAAAAGTAAGCCTTTGTCTCCACGCTTCTCATAGAAAGCTGACTGAATTGGCTTCTTTGGGGAAGAGACTAAATCCACATCCCTGTCTGATTCTCCTATGCTTCCTTGACTTAGGCAACAGCAATAGCAGGAATGGCAGTGGTGGCAGCCGCCACTGGGACCTGAACCTTTTCAGCAGGTGGGAAGGTGTCCTCCGTGTCGGCAAAGCCGGAACCCACTTGTATCCATTGTGGTTCTGAGGCAATGATTGGGTAGCCAGTCTACAAACACTGGCAACCCGTGAATGCCCTCCAGGAAGTGAGTGTAGAATCTGCTCTGTGATGTCAAGCCCTGTGTCAAACACCTGCTGGATGACCAGCCCAAAGGAGAAGGGAAGCTCTTCTCTGAGTTCAGCAGTGTGGCTTCACTGGCCCCGCCTCCTTCGCCTCTGGTCTTTGCCAGCTGCACATCTTGCTGAGTGTCAGTGTACCCTGGGGATCTTAGTGGTGAGGCCTAAAGCCCGGGAGAAAGAAGCCTTCTCAGACCACAGGCCAGTGTTTTGGGGTCACAGAGTGACCATACATGGGGTGATGGCACCAGCATGGGCTGCAGATGGCACATTATTGGCCAGCAGCAGGTCCCCGACCTTGTGAACACAAAGCCCATGTCCTCTGGCTATGTGGCAGGTTCCTCCACAGCTGAGTTGGTTTCCAGACGTTCCCGGTGGCCTCGCACACCCCGGCGTTCTTTCCTGCTGGTACCTCAGCCTTCCCTCAAAGGGACATGCAGGTCTGCCTGGAGCCCAAACTCTGCTCCCACAGTGACATTTTGAGTTGTCATCCAAAAGCTGGAAGTAGTTGGACTTCCAGGTTGCTCTGCCTTCCTTGGCCACCACGGAGTACATCAGGGATCTACAAGGGGTTAAAGATGATGTCACTGTAGGGAGGATGCCTGGCAGGAACCCTACAGGTTCTTAGCTGGAAAAAGCCCCTGGTTGCACAAGCAGATTAACAAGAGGAAACGCAGCAGTCTCAGAGAAGGGTTCAAGCGGTGGACATCGCAGCCAGGATGCTGTGCCCACGGTCCACAGGTCCAGAACTGGAGCCCCACCCCTTGCTGAGCAGAGGAGTTCCTAAAAGTTCATCATAGCTGTCTCCAGACAGCCCAGGAAGGGTGGGCACATTCGCCTGGGACAAGGAAAGGTTCAGTTCCAGGCACCCACATCTGTAACTTCAGCTCCAGCAGACACACGTGCACACATGTGGTGCATAGACACACATGCAAGCAAAACATCCATATATATGTTTTCTAAAGAATCAGATGAGTGTGCACAGCCCCTTCCCCCCAATGATGCTAGCCACAGAATTTTGTATGACAACTCTGGAGGTCCAGACATCAGGAAGCCCTCCGTAGACTTCAGGCTTGTGACTTATCTCCTCAGGAAGCCATGACAAACTGGGTAACAGCAGCAATGGTAGTGATCACGGATCCATCTTACAAACTGTTAACACACAGGGCTTGGCAAGCTTTTGACTAAATACTCAAATACTAAACATTTCATTATTTAATATATTTCAAGATTTAAGAAGCATTTATTATTGCGGGGGCTAGGGATGGCGCATACGCTACAGCTCAGATGTGGAGATCAGCAGACGGCTCTGTTTCGTTCCCCCACTTTTATATGGATTCTGGGCCTTGAATCCAGGGCTCCGGGCTTTCATGACAAATGCTTTCATTTGCCTCGCCCTGCACAGCTTGGGTCCCAGAGCTGTGACTAGGGCTGCCAAGGGAATGAAGACACCAACACATGGGCACAGAAAAGCTGGGATCCGATAGACTGGGCTCTGCTGGAAAAGCCGGGCAACCCAGCTCAGCGTGTTT